ATTTGATATAGTTGAAAACGCGATCATCGGATTAGCCCCTCCACCTACGTATAAACTATAAACTGGACATATCTGCAGATAAAATTATTTAAACCCAACGAAAAAGTGACACGACATTTTAAAAATGTGAAAGGAAAAGAGATAGACCTTACAACAGATGGTTTGATACAGTGATGAAAACGTTACACGAAATTGGGGTTAACCGTTGAAGAACTGTGACAGGGGATAATTCTCGATCGAAGAAACTTTTGGAAACAGCCTTGGTCTACAACAAGCTGTAGCGCTACAGAAGAAAAAGAAAAACAGGTTTCTCCAAAACAAAATAATTGCAGCTTAAATATTAAAGCAATTGTAGAACGAACATTTTTTAAAATCTGGTTTCATGCTAAAATATAAGCGTCATCTTTTCTGAAAATTCCTATATTTTTCTGTCAAAAATGGACTGACGTCATTTTTTTCTGACGAAAAAAAATCCAACCTTCATGAACCTGATGGTTTTCATTATTTTTGGTGTAATGCACGAAAGACCAAAGTAGTGCTTTCAAGACGTCAATATAGTGGTGGCTCAGTGATGGTTTAAAGCACGATTGCGGCAAATAAAACCTCATCAACAGTCTTTACCAACATTAAAATAAATTCCTATAAATATGTTAATATGTTAGGAGAAAGTTTGTAACCTATAGCGCCACTAATTACTTCTGGTTACAGCATCATAATGCTTCATGACTCGTTTCCAGGAGAGTAAAAATCTGGTTTTAAGCTAATTCTGTAAATTTATTTGATTGGCAGGTGAGGAGTCCCGATCTTAATACAATTGAAAACTTAGGAGGACATCTAGCCCGAGAAGTTTATAAAAATGGCACACACTATCGATGAAAACGGGATCTTGTCTTTACTATCAAAGACGCTTGGGAAAAAGTTTCTGTGGGTCCCTTAAGAGATCTTTCTGGATCCATGACCACACGGCTTAGTAATTGACAAAAAAGAAGGAAATTTTTCTTGATTATTGACGTAAATTTTAAGCATTTTAGAACATGTCCTTATTGGCGAGGCGATCGAAATGGACTGTAGGTGGCGTGGAGCAGAACTCTCTACCTATGGCAACACTTACTTTGCTATAGCGTGTGGAGAATCATAGAGGAAGGAAGTACGTTAGTTTCTGTCTTGATTTTTATGTAGATTAAAATCTTTTAAGTTGGAAAACTATATGGAACTGAAAACTACATTAAACATAGTTCTAAAGAAAAGCATCACGGAAATTTAAAGAAATATTTTTATTAAATAAAAAGGAAAAATATTAAGAAAAGGGAAAATATAGTAGTACATTCCTATACAACTGAAAAGAGGAGCAGAGGGAAGGGAGAAGGACCAAAAGCATGAAACCGGTCTCTCCCCAGATGACGTATTCGAGCGTATTTCCTCTAGTGCCAATTTTTGTTAAATCCATATTTTGAAGCCAAATTTTATTTTTTATGTGCTATAAGTGTTATTACAAAATTATGTAACAGGAATCAAACATATAAAGGTTTCATTTAGATGCAATGAAAATAAAGCATATTTCCCTTCATTTTAATTTTGTTCTTATACTTTTTTCATGCCATGTATTACTTACTTTAGTCTAAGAAGTTATCAAAAATTAGCCCCAACCAATTCCTATTTTTCCCCTCATAGGCAATATTACAACATCAACAGTTTTCATTCCCTCTCTTCCATTCATTTCCCCTTTAGTCTTTCCCAACTGCAAAATTAATCTTTATTTGAATTTGAACTTCATAAAATAATTCAATATATTGCAAATTTGTATTTTGATTTGAGAAAAAATCATTTCTTTTGAGAAAAAATTTTCTATGGAAGAAAATCAATGATAAAATATTATTAAGATTTGCTCTTAGCTAAGAATTTTAAAAATTTGCTAATGCTTGGCCCTTTGGCTAATTTACGGGCTAATAATCGGGTCCTGAAATACATATCTTCGAGTGATATAAATTCAAATCAAATGTTAAATTAAAGATAATTTATAAGGTTTAAACAGAAACTAAAAATTAAAACAAAACCGTTAGAATACAAAATAAGATTCAATGCTCTCTCATTTTGATTCATACTTCAGATATTATTTCTATTTTTTGAATTATTAGAGGTTTAACAAATTTTAAAGAAACCTTCTTATTTTCGCTTTTCTCCTAAAGAAATTACCTAAACTGTACAGAAAAATTTAAACCTAAATTACAAACAGTAAGCTGTTAACAAATTCAGGTTTTCCTTCATTTTTCGAATTTCTCAAGTTGCATTAAAATATCTGGATTCTAAATACCACGAGTAAATGGTATGGTGCTAATTGACGAAAAAATCGTCGAAGAATAATTTCGATTTACGATGCAATAGGCACAAAATCGTATGAAAAAGCGATTATTTAAAGCACAATTAGAAACTCGCATGTAGCAATAATATCGTAGTTAAATTGACGGGATTGTCAAAATAACGTGGGAAAACAATAAAACATGGTAATAAGTGCAAAAATAAAGAAAAGAAAACAAAAACAAAAACTGCCTTAAGTTTACGATGAGTCTCGCAGTGGACTGATAGTTAAGACACGGTTCCCAGCAGATCACCGAGGTAAAAGCATCACTGGCTGCGGTCAGTGTGCGGGTGGGTGAACACTTGCATCAGTCTGCGTAGGGACCGAGGGTGTGCGGCATTAGTCCTCGTTAAACTGTGCTACCGTAGAGTGCTCGACTTCACGCGCAGGTCGTCGGGCTACCGAAGCGGGAGTGCCATCCTCGATGGCATGTCTTCGGATCATCCTCCGGGATGTTTCCCAGACCGTCGCCAATAGCCCATTGTGCAGCTCTAGTGCGACGTAAATTAACAACAACAACAAAAAGTTTACGATGAAATCAACACGAATAAAACGCGTCAATAAATAATTATTTAAATGTATTTAAAATTCGCATGTTGTAATAAAAGACGGAATTTTTAAAACCACGTGAGCATGTAGAGCAATAACTTCCTAAAAAATGGTCGAACAATAATTTGGGTTTATGATGAAATTGTCACAAAGGATGTCAAAAAGTGATTGTTTAAATGCGCGATTTAGAAAATTGCGTATCGTAATAATTTCTTCAGGGTTGCCACTCATATCTGGAATAAAAATTCCCCTTGTTTTCTTTGTACATATTATACACAATATATTGAGAGGAAACACACAATCACTGAGCTCTTGAGTGAGCTATTTTAGGGTAACTATTTTATAATAGTTTTAATTGCTGGAAAAACTTCAAGAAATAAGGAACAGTTGTTATTTTAGGTGATTTTTTAAATTCCCTGTATTTTCCAGGTTTTCCCAGTTCTACCTGTAAAGTAGCAACACTGTATAAACTGTAAAAATGCGGGCTTTTCAAAATCACGTGGCGAAGCATAGCAATATCGACCTTAGGGGGAAAAAAAAGAAGAAGAAACCATTTAAATTTAGGATAAAATAGGCGCAAATTAAGTGCGTCAAAAATTGATCAATTAAATGCGCGATTTATGACGAATTTTAATATCGTACTAAATAAAAATAGGTTTAAAAAAGCCACATGGAAATCAATAGTTATGACTGCAAAAAAAAAAAAAAAAAAAAAAAAAAAAAAAAAAAAAAAAAAAAAAAAAGATCGAAAAACTATTGGATTTATGATGATATTGGTAAAAATAAAGCGAGTCAAAAAGTGATTATAAATCGATTAAAATTTAATTTAAAAATCGCGCATTGTAATGTCATATCAAAAATATATATTTTTTTTAAGTCATGCGGAAATCCAAAGCAATTACAGCGGTACAATTCTTATAGCTTATTACTAGTATATAGCTTATTAGCATCAGTCAATTAGTACACCATAAGTTCCCTGCATTTTATATCATCATCAATAGCATCATCAACTAGTTTAATTAGCATTAGGGACTAATATAGGGTATATGCCTTTTCATCAATAAGACCGAAAACAAATAAGACCGTCACAAAAAACCGAATTCTTAGGTCTGACGACCGTGAGGTGCCACCCTCCCTCTCAAGTTGCCTTCTTCTCTTGATGGCATTAACAGTATGAATGGTTCCTAAGCAACCAAGCTAAATGCCAACTATTTCTGGGCTACGGTGGTCTTGAAAATTTTGGCATAATTATTCGGAAATTTTTTGGTTTTTGAGATTTTTATATCATAATTTTAATCGACATCATTAAAGCAATGGTAGTTACTGTTTCAGAAAAATCTTTATTTATTATTATCTCGGTTTCCTTTTTTGTTGGAGTTGGTTGTGGCTATAAGCTTAAAGAGTGGAGATTAAAATATTTAAAACAAAAACGAAATTTTCTAGAAAGGAAGTTTCGGCAAGTGCAAAATCAACTAGAAGATATTGTGAAACATTAACTTTATTGTAAGCAGACCTTAGTTTTATTATCTGTTTTCATTTGATTTTTTCCCCCCTGTGATAATGAAAAAGATAAAAATTAACTCCTTATTATCTTTTTTTTTGCTTTTCAAGTTATTATTTTGTAGGAATTTTTTAATGTTTATGAGTATTAATAAATGCAATATTACCTACTGTTTTTTATTTTAAGGTGTGAATGATTTGTTTATTTTCTGATGCTCAAATATTCATTTTTAAAATAGCTCTTTCCTCTTTTTGATTATAGGTTGGTGTTACTGAATTGTGAATCATTAGGAATGTTCATTAAATGTATCAATCCGTATCTTAAAATCTGGAGCGATGCAGTTACTTAACACACATAATAATTAGTTATTTTTAAACTAACCATACTAACTTTACTTTCTATATCAGTTTTTAAAGTTGAATTTGTAGTTTTAATAGTAAAATTGATGTCGATCTCCGTTTTCTTGTTTAATTTCAGCAACTTCTAGTGTAAGGTAATTAAAAATTTAAATTTCATATTTAAATTTAAAAAAAAAAATTCTGTAATGGTTTAAAATGTTTATAGCTTTTTAATTTTACTATACTCTCTTTTTTTTAAAAATTTTTTATTAATTTGATTGACTATCCGGCATTTTCTTTTTTTTCCCTCATTATTTTATTGAGCAGTACTAGTTGAAAATTCAATTGATATAATTGTTCTATGCATATGACTAAAAACATGTGCTAAAATTTAAAATTGTATCTTTTTGTGATGATTTTTTTTACAATTTAACAATTGTTATAGATTATTAATTGTATTATATATGAAATGATGAACTATTAAATGAAGTCCTTATATTTTATTAATTAAAATAAATTAACTCTGTTTTTTGCTTACTTTTAAGAAGATTTTGCTTGCTTAATGAAATAGATGTTCTAAACCTTAAATTTTTTTCTTGCTTTTTGTAAATATTGTTCAAAACTTTTGATGTTATTTTTTTTTAAAATTCTAAAGCTTCTTTCTCTCTATCCTTCCCAATTTCATCCTCTTCTCATTCAGCTATCACCTCAATCACCTACTAAAACTATACTAACATGTCTACCTCGGTACGTCCTCGTCCATCGCCTCTGAACTCTCCTCGTTCTTCTCCTTGTCCGTCACCACGTAGTTCTCCTCGGTTTGCTCGTAAACACATTCGTTCACCCACAGTTAAAAGAAGAATGATGCCAGTTATCGTAGTACACGGGGGAGCAGCAACTGTGCCACCAGATTTTCAACCTCTGAAAATAGAAGGCGTGAAACGTGCTGTTAATAAAGGTTATGACGTACTGTTGTCACCTGAAGGTACGGCTCTTGACGCGGTTGAAGCTGCTGTTAAAGTAATGGAGGATGACCCTGTTTTTAATGCAGGTACGTAAAAATCTAAGAATCTTTTACCTGCCCAAATTTTTGCATTATCCTTGTTGTTGATCCTTTGAATTTGTTAGGTTAAAACTTGTTATGCAGAATAATGATTTCAAGTCTCGAATTGAGATGGAATTTCAGTAGAAGACCTTTATAATGCAATTCATTAAACCGCAATTCTCCATGAGCCATATTAACTTTTTTGGATGTAAATAGTGAAAGTTATAGAATAATAAATGCATATAACTAAACAAGAGCTATTAACTTTTTGCATTACATGCTAGGAGTTTACAATTTCAATAGCCAAGCCAATATTGATATTTTTTTAATTAAATATAATGTAGAAAATTTATTTTTCTCTTTATTAATCCAATAGAAGATCTATATGACGCAATTCTATGAACGACAATTCTCCATAAACTACATCAACTTTGCGAGTTTAAACAATGGAAATTGTAGTCAAGAAATTGCTGTAACTAAGCGAGAACTATTAACTTTTTAATTCTTTACTAAGAGGCTTAAATCTAAGTAATTTAGAGGTTTATTAAAAAATTAATTAAGAAGTTTATTAAAAATTTAAGCAAATGAGAACTGATTAATTTGTTTGTAATTACCTCTAATGATCTGGAAAATTTTGATTTTTTATGTACATAAGGAATACTTAAATGTATGTTTTTTTGTTTAAAAGTATTTGTATCTAAAAAAATATTTAAAAACATATTAAGATTGATTTGTTCTAAGCTAATATTGCCATTAGTACTTATACTTCTAGTCGTAGACAAGTTTATCGGTAGGTGAAATGATCTATAACAAAAAATTCTATAAAACAATAAACTTTCCATCTCAAGCTTTGTGTTATAAAGATCTTCCACTGTACCAAATACTTAAGTGCATATGCCCTTACTGTAAATTGTCATGGATTCATGGCAGTTAATGATGTTCCATGAAACAAATTTTAAGATAAGAGTTAAAATGATTTTATTGAGACTTATTAAAGTACGATTAAAACAGAAATGACAATTTCATATTTAATAGTTTAAATTCAGAAAGTTTAAGGAAAAAATTTCACAAAACTGTTGGTGAAATTTTTACGAATCTTTAATTGTACAATTCACAATTGTTCAATAAAATTGTACATTTGACACTGTTCTATGATGGAATTACCTTTCTCAAGTGGTATTGGTCTAATTAGATGATTTAAATTTCTTATGAATTCCATTAGCAGTAATGATTTGTAAAACTGTTCCAGAATCTAATGTTTTATATTTTTTGTAAACATTTGTTTTTAAGGTGCTTTTTATGATGTATTAAAATGTTTGTTGTAGGGTTTGGATCATCTTTAACTATAAATGGTGATGTAGAAATGGATGCAATTGTAATGGAAGGCACTAGAATGAAAGCTGGTGCTGTTGGTGCAGTCGCAAGAGTTTCTAGTCCAGTCTCTCTTGCTAGAAGAGTGATGGAACAAGTAAGGCACTCACCTCTTGCTCTGTTTTGTGGGCAAAATTTTTCTACCACTAACAAACTTCATTTTTTATGTATGTTTTTTGGCTTAGCAAATTTAATTTAGAGTTTTTTTTTTTTGCTCACCGATATATAAAAATGATTAAAAAATTCATTTAAAACACCTGTGTTATCTTGGGGAATATTTGTAATAAACTAAAATACTGCTGGTTTTTGTTTTTAATTTTCAACTATTTATAAATTTTTTAAAAAGAGAGCTGAGCACCTGTCAACCCTAGTACCTATGTAGTTCATAAAATTTTTTTTTTTTATAATATAGATTTCTCAAAGGCCAAATGATTTATATGCATCCATTGTTTCTAACAAAAATATAAATTAAAAGTTTCATAAAAATTACATAATATTAAAAAAATTTTTTTTTTAATAAATTGTTGACAAAGCATTTAAGAACATAGAAATCCTAATTTCAGAAATTCTAATTCACAAATTTGAAGAAAAAAAAGTAAAATTAAAATTATCCAATTTAAAAGCAAATGTTGTTGAAGAATTTATTATAAATAGAAGATTTAATTTATGCACATTTAAAAATATTGAAATAGTCTTCTTCTCCATTGACAAGTGTTTTTTATTGAAAAAATTAAGTGCAAGATTTTTGAGAGTTTTATAAAACCTTTTTCAGATTTTTTATTTAACGTAGAATAATTCAAATAGAGGTTTTCAGAAAATTGAATAAATTAAATTAGTTTTGCTAAGAGTTTCTTTGAATTAATGTGCTAATTATTTCGTCCTAAAGCCCAATTTAGCCTTACGGCCTCTTCCTAAAATTCCAAAAATTTTTGTACAATGTTAACTTATGAAATTGCTTTTTTTGTTTTTATAAGTTTTTTTTAAAAATTTAATAAAGTCAATAAAGTTCTTTATTTAATCTCTAACTTATAATAAAATTAATGTTTTTGGCTCTTATTTTTAACATTTAATATAACTTTTTTTTTTGAGGTAAAATTTTAAAACTTAACAAGTTAAAATTTTTTTTAAACAATGCATTTCAGATAGGGCTGCCACTCCACAGGAAGAACAGGGAGAGCCTGGGAAATACAGGGAGTTTAAAAATCCCCTAAAATAACTGGAAATTTTGAGTTTTTCCAAGCGAACTGGGAAAATACAGGGAATTTTAGTTCTTATTTTCGTCTTTTGAAAGTTGTAGATCACTCAAAGCGCAATCTATGGGATATGTAAGGATGATATTTCAGCTATACTAAACTATTTCATTTATTATAGCATTATTTGTTTTAAGTATGTTGAGCTGTTCCTTATTTCTCTAAGTTTTTCCAGCACTTAATTAAAACTAATATAACTAACCCAATATAACTAAAGCAAGAGCATAGTGACTACATATTTTCTCTTAATAAATTGTTTATAATATTTACGGGAAAAACACAGTGAATTTTTTTTAGAGATTTCAGTGGCAACCTTGCCAGACTATTTTTTATCAAAGGTTAAATTACAAGGAAACTGCTTTCATAATTTTTTGTTAAATGTGTTGTGTATGTTAAATCAAAACTTTATGTTTTACAAAATATCATTGTAAAATAATATTTTACACATAAAGTATCTTGGCACGTCTTATTTTGCTCAACAAAATACTTTAAGCTGTGTAATTAATTAAGGGTTTAAAAGTTACAAAATGTTGACTTAAAATTATTTATTACCCATAAAGTATCATGATAAGTCTTAGTTTAGACCCTTGACAATGTTTAAATGCAGCTTTTCTCTTCTAGCTGAAAAATAATTTAAAAATAGCTCAATTAAATTATAAATATATATATATATATGTTTTTCAATTTGAAGTTTTTAACTCTGATGAAATATATAAATTATTCAAAGGAAGAAAACATTTAAATTATAACAAAGAAATCCTAATTTTATTGAGAAATTTGAAACAATTGATAAAACTTTGATCATGATTTTTTTCTTTTTAATGGCGGGCACTTTGGTCTATTTCCCATTGGCCTCAGAATTGCTACTCTCTTATTGTTACCCAGTAGGCACCTGTGGCTAAGTCACGGCAGTGGAGTAGCATCGCCCTTGTCATACAACCACAAACCCGTTTATAGGGCGGTTCACACAATCACACAGAAGAAAGGACATAGAACGCAAAAAGAAAGTTACATCTATGCCTACGGTGGGATTCGAACCCACCTGGCCCCGTAGTCCAGTACAGTAACCATTAAACCAGTGATTGGCAAAAACAAACATGATTCAAATGTTTATTTTAAACCAAAAGATGTATATTTATGTTTAGTTGAAAATGCTAAAACAGTTTCATAGAGAAAATTAAATTGATTCTTTGCATTCTAAACTTTCCAGTTTGTTGTGGTTATTCTATGTTTTATTAATTTTTTTAAAAAAGATTCTTTTATTAGTTTGTTAGTAGTTCCTTTAAATTTTGGTTATTTATCATAGTAAAAAAAAAAAAACTTTCAGTTGCCCCATCCAATGATTTTGCTGAGTGATCTGATCCTCCTCTGATACGGTTACATTCATTACAGTTTGCATTGAAAATTGTAACATTTGTGATTTATAATATATTATCTATTTTTCTAATAGAATTTAGTTTACAGCCTTAAATTCATTAAGAGTGCATGTAATATAGTTTACTTAAAATATTTAAACTTTTTATAAGTATCTATTTGCTTAACTCTTGAAACTACTTTCTGATGCTGTTATATAATTTGAATGAAATTTTTTTTAATGGTTGCATCTATTTTTAAAATGAGTTATAGTAGAAGATATTGTAAGAAGACCTTTCATCAAAACATTTTAAAAACAATTTAGTTTTAAATTGTAAAATTATTTCTCTAAGAGGTTAAGAAATAAGATTTCTGCCAAGTTTTATAAAATATGAAAGTATTTAAAATATATATCAAAAAGATGTTATGTTTAAATAACAAGTAATTAAGAAAATATTAAAATTATTTAAAAAATTAATAATTAAAAAAAACATGAAAATTTTTCAGAAAATGTATTTAAAATTAATCATTTTTGATTCAATGTTTCTGCATCTAAGATTTTTATAAAAGTGTTTTGTTGTGAGCTGTCAAGAAAGTTACATATTTAGCCACTTAAAATAACATTTGGAACGGCAAAACTTATTAAAGTTATTGAGAATAAATATTTGTAAATATTATGACACCCATGCATGCATTAAACTGGTTCCATCTTTGCTTTTATAAATGAATATCCTTAAATAATTCTGCTGCTACTTTTGAAAAGAATTATGTGTACATAATAATTCTGAAATTCTCTTTATTTCTTTGTTGTGACAGCCTCTTTTGAAAAATAACACAATGATAAGTCAGACTTTTGATCAATTCTTGAACTGAAAAAAATTCTGAAAATAAGAATGTAAAAGGATAATATTTTATGCATTTTTTTTATACTTTCTAATGGATGGTTGACTGAATATAAACAATGACAAACATCCTCACACCAGAAGAACTCTATTGTTTGTCATGTTTTGAGTGTTATCCCTTAATTGGCTATATTAGTGTAAAACATTGCCATTTGTTTTATTTCGGATAGCACCATTGCATGTTTACAGTCTCCCAAATTCATTCGTTGTTAGTTTTGCTGAGATTTAAATTGAAAGAACGTGTTTACTCTATAAGTATAGTAATATTGGATGGCTCACTTTTTAAAGATTAGGCGTAAAAATCAATCGGAAGTAGTAACTCTGAAGTCTTACGGCGATTTTTAACCCCTAGCACCATCTGTACTAAGCTTTATATGGTTAACCATCCATAGTTTGGTTATTTTTCCGTACCATTCTGAACTGCATCATAGGACATTGTATAATTATAAAAGCTAACGTAAGTGGATATAAATAATAATCTTCTGCTAAAAATGAATTATTTAGCTCTTAATTGTTATAGTATTCCCGAGTTTCTTTTCCCTTGCATTTCATATTCAAATTTAGGCACAAAGAATATGTTAGAAGTAATGACTTTTTACTAAAAACAGAGTTGTTACCAAGCATTGGTTTCATGTAATTAATGCAAATGATTAACACTACTGTGGATACATTTATAAATTTAAGTACTTATCCGATTATCTCAGTTATTTAGTATGAACTAGGTAAAGATTTGTTTTTAGTTATTATAAAGTAGTTGAAATGGTTTGTTTAACATATTAAAAATAAACAAATGTCTATTTTCTTTTAGAGTGAACATGTTCTTATGATTGGTTCTGGAGCTCATCAATTTGCTCAAATGGTTGGGATGCCTTTGATTCAGTCTCAACAACTAGTTACTAATTGGGCTCAAGAAAGACTACAACAATACAAAACCTTTACAAATGCTGTACAATCATCTATGACCTTAAAGTAAGCTCTTTATATTTTGTGCTGCAAAATATAAAGAAAGAAAGTTGTATATTAACTGTTATTCTTATGTATAATATTTATAACTTCTTATATATAATATGGTAATTTGAAATGCTTTAGTTACTGCCTAAAATGAGTTTTAAAATTTAAAAAAAAAAAAAAAATTAATGTAGTTTGGCTGTTATTTGGTTTCTGTTCTTTGTTATTACGGTGTAATTTTACACTGTTAGGCATCTATACAACATCTTAAATGTGTGTTTTTTGAAAGCATTTTGATAGAAAATTATGGATTTCTGAAATTTGTTTTTATGTTGTCCTGTTAATATTAAAACTCCGAATAGTTTCCTTATTAATTATTGCCATAATTATTAAAAGACAACCTGGATAGTAAATTCTCTTAAAACTTATTGTTTAGTGGTTATACAAAACTTAAAATCCAAAATTATGGGCTGGAATTGAATCTAATTTGTATATGTTCTCTCTCACTTTCTTTAAAAAAAAAAAAAAAACTTGTTAAACTTATATAGATTTTTTTTGTTTATAATTTTCAAAGAAAAATTACTAAAAATATCAAATAAGTAAAGAAAACATAATTTTTTTCAAATACCATATGATATTAAACTGTTGTTTTAAATAAGATTTCTAAAAATATTAAGTTTCTTTGACTCAACATGAGTGTCCTACTGAACTTGGAGTTAAGTACTGGTTTAAAACATTGTTTTAGAAAATGATGCAAATTATGTATGCAAGCATTATCAAACTGTTGTAATCAATCTTTGCAATCAATAGCTTTCAAATCCTTTAGTTTTTTTTAAAAAAAAAAGTCAATTAGACATGTCAAGCTATAAAAAGGTAGATAAAAAAATAAAGGCCCCTTCCTCTTAAAAAGTGTTATGCTAACAGAGAAATAAACAAATTTCCTGCTGTAATCAAGTACTTCTTTATTTGCAAAAATTGTAAGATTTAAATCTTACAAGCTGCATTTTGCAATTTAAATCTTATAATTTAAATCGTGATAGAGATTGATTCGATTACAATTTAAGACCCTAGTGAAAAAACATGATTAAGATTTTGAAAAACACTTCATTTTATAATAATAAAAGGATTAAATAATGAAATGAAAGATGCTAAATGACAAATAAAATGCATCTGTTAGAGATCGATTCTAACCTATGCATTCTTAAAGTATATAAATTATCTATTACTAAATAAGTTAAAAAGTTGAGAAAATTGGTGGGCCTTCAACAGATCTATTTTAGAGATGCATACATCAATTCATGTTACCAAAACTCATGAAGGAGTCAATTTTCAATAGAAAAGGGTGTTCGTAAAAATATTTTTGATGTCCATGTTCATTTTAAATTCAATTTTCTGAAATTCTTCAAAATATCACATTATTTATTCTTCCATTATTCTTGTCAAATGTGTTTTTTCAAACTGTTTTTTTTTTTAAAAAATGTGATTGGAATTTCTCGAGGTCTAAATATTTTGGTCAATAATTAGGTTCTTTTTTGCTTGTGACTCTCATACAATTATGTGCTATTTTTGAAATATGGTTAAACTAATTAAGCTCTAAATTATCAAATTCTTTACATTGTAAAATTAGTGTGATTTTTAATAGTGCTTTCAAAATTGTCTTAGTTACTATAATTTAAGGAAACCTAAGTAATTACTAAAATGATCTTGCACTGTGCTACAAGCCCTAGTAACCTTAAACAGAATTTTGTTTAGTATTTTTGCCTTTTGTTGCTCAAAAGGGGAAAAAATTATCATTCAAATATCTTTTAAAACGTTTTTCAAAAGTGCAGCTATTATCCAAATAAAATTCAGAAAAATAAACATCAATATTAAATAATAATGCCCATTATTCAATATATTTTGTTATTTTCCTTCATCGAATACTAGCTGTTTGTAATTTGTCAGCCACTGATTCTAAATTACAAGAGTCTACTTATTTTTTTTTAATACATTTTTTAATATATTTTTTTAATACATTTTTAATACATTTTTTAATTCCTTTCTTTCCTTTCATTTCTTTCCTTTTGTTTTTTTTAAAATTTTTTTTAAGTGTTTCATTCCTAAAAATCACATTTTGTGTGTCAAACTTTAAATAATTCTATACGGAGCTTAACTCTTAAAAATGTAAAAAAGTAAGAACGCAAAATTATTCCGTCACTCCCGAACCTTTATTGTACCATTCCAACTGAATGATCATGCTGTCATTCTGTTATGGATTAATGGCAGATGAATGGGTGGTCCCATGGACCCATGATCATTATTTCATCGAATACAATGGAGAATTTAGTGGTTTCTGACAGTAGATCACCTATGATTTGAATTGCCATATTAGTAGCTGCCGGTGACATTATCAATAGGTCGCTGCAGTTGGTTAACATTGATTCCCCTACTTTGCTAATAAACTATATGTATGTTGTTGTTTTTTTTTTGTTGAAAAGAAAAATGTATTGTTGTTTTTGTTGGTAGTAGGGTTTATAAACAGTAGAGTAACTTAAAAGCTTTATAAGTTTGGTGACCACTGGACTAAACATATAATTTCAGAATAGTAAGACGGTTTTATAATGACTAGACCAAGAAGAAATTTTGCATGGAATGTATTATTCCTCTATATTTTTCTATTAGTCTCCCTCATTTTGCAATTTTCCATTAAAGTGTGAATCTTTTAATAGTGATCATGATACAGTGGGAGCTGTTGCAATTGATTCAGCTGGTCATGTAGCCTGTGCTACTTCAACGGGAGGAATCACTGCCAAACGCGCTGGTCGTGTGGGTGATACCCCTGTTGTTGGAGCTGGTGGATTTGCTGATGACTTTGTCGGTGCTGTTTCAACTACGGGACATGGAGAGACCATTATGAGAGTTTCTTTGTCTCGTCATATTACGGGGCTTATGCAACAGGGTAACTATGTTTCCTTCAATAAATTTGATTACCATTTTATTCATGTTGCTGATTTTCTTACTAAATAGTTTAAAGCTTCATCGATACTTTTTCTGAAAAAATAAATAAATTGTTGGAGTTAATAGTACTTAAATAACTAAAGTTATATCTTATTGTTGCTCTCTTGGTATTTGGTGTTTCAAGAATTTTTTTCAGCTGTTTTCCAGTGTTGCAAGGACAGATTTACCATATTTTCTGGTATATTTTGCTTTTTCCAAAAATCATTTATAAAGACAGCTATAAACATGTTTGATATCAGTTGTCAACTTATACACTGAACACATTCTAAATCCCTTATTTTTGAGTAAAGAAATAAAAGGTAAATTGATGTGCTGGATCAACCTATGCACAATAAAATACATATAAATTTCATATCTAAATCATTAATATGTTCTTTTCTCTATTATGCTGAACATTTTTATAAGCAGAAAAATTGCATTACCATATAAATTTGAAACAGGAAGTATTAGTTAGTTGCAATACCTAACTGTAGCTAAATATTATAGAACATGTTATCTTGCTATGTGTGAATGTAATAGCTTGATATAGTTAAACATTTTTGAAAATATTTTTAGCTGTTATAAAAATAATGTAGAAGTTTTTAATCATTTTTTTTTTCAAGTCCACCTACTTCATATTTTTTTTTTTTAAATTATATTTTATTTATTCTTGGCATCTCTTTCATTTGTAAATATTTTTTCTGGTGCAATAATAAATGTGATTAGAGATAAAAGTAAACTTTACATAATTATTCATTTAAACTATGCTGGAAAATATCACTGATTTAAATTTATAAAGACATAAATTTTTTGAAATGCGTAATTCTAATGATTTTATTCAAGAAATTTTCAGGATTTTTGAGTTTGGCTCACAATCACCCCTGAAGTCCATTCTGTTGACCCCATGGTCACCATACCAATGCATGGAAAATTTCACAATGTGACAGCTAGTATTGTCACCCTGGAAGTAACTAGGGTTTCAATCCATAAAACTACCACTGTATCAAAAGAACACTTTTATCCAGAAGAATATAATCGATGTTTGTGTTGAGCTTAACAGCAATCTTTACATCTTTAACAGTCTTTAACATCGCAGACCATAATACCACCTCTCTTTGTATCCGCTGGTGACCAAATATGTATTGGTATGTAATTTTTTTAATCTTAAATGTGCAATAATTAATTTTACAAAACATCATACTCAAACAGGTATTGTTATAAAAAAACATATCATGTTTCATTATTAGAGTTGGCTATCAAGTTAGTGAAACTTTGCTTGTAAAAAATGTTTATTTTGTAAGTGAATTTCATGGAATATTTTTAAAATACAACTAATCAGATGTGAATGAAATAGAATTTTTGTTGCACAAAATATTAGTTCTCATAAAAATGTTTGAACAAAGTATGGGTCTATATACAGATAAACCATCAATTAACTCAAGTTATGTTGGCAAGGCTAAACAATAAAATATCCTGAATGACTATTTGTCAAATGAAAAAATTTTCATAGTACTCAGATGTAATTGTATTTAAAGATATTTATTTAAAGATAGTTTATGGAAAGAATGATTTTTAATACTTTTGATTTCCTATCGATCTGAAAAATCTGAAAATCTTTCAATAATAATGTGTAATTCTTACATCACTAGTAATAATAACGAAAGATAAGATTTTTAAAATTTTTATTTCATTGAACTATTTAGTGATTACAAATTATATTTTTTAACTTATGAAACTGCATTCAAAAATTTTTGATCATTATAAACTTTCTGGCAGTTCTGTACTTTTACCAAATTTCTTCTTTGAATAGCAAATATTGTCTCCACATGATTAAATGGATTTTTTTTATAGATTTGCTCATTAGTGAAACCGTTGGTGTGTTAAACAGTAATATATGTAATTATGCTAGAAAATGCAAATGAGTTCAAGAACTTTATTTGTTCAATTAATTCTAGAGTATATGGTGAAAAATACATTGAACTCAAATTTTTAGGTCTATTTTTATTTTCCAGAATTTGATTGAACTGAAAATATGTTAATTTATTTATTTAAATTATGGCATGCACTTATTATTGTTCAATTAATTCTAGAGTATATGTTGAGAAATACAGAAAACACATTAAACCCAAATTTTAAATTTCTCTTAAACTCAGACTTTAAGCTCAATTTTTATTTTCCAGATTTTGATTAAACTGAAAGTATGTAGTAACTGAAAATATGCTAATTTATTTACTTAAGTTATGGTATGCACTAATTATTCAATTTTAAAGGTCTGTTATCTCAAACTATTAAGATTAAGTATAATGAACTATTAAGTATAAGTTAAGATTAAGCATAGTAAGTGAAAATCCAATCCTAAGATGAGAAGTTATTCAAAACTGTTAACTATGCAGAAGCCTTGGGATAATTTATGTCAATCTGTTGATGCATTTTATATTGGATTGGCAAGAAAGTAATTTTGGTTTGCAACAGTAGACGGAGTTATGTTCTGAAGTTTATGGTATTGAGTGTTTAGAGAATGCATATATCAGAGTTGGTTTAAATGTTTATTCGGGAGATTTTTTTACTTAAATATGACCTACGTTCTGGTTGAACTTCTGAAGTTGATGATGACAAAATGAAAGCCATATGTATGAAATTGTCAGATAATTGTACGAGAGATTGCAGAACAGTTAAATATATCACACACAACAATTGAAAATCACCTTGGACTTGTTAAGAAGCTCAAATTGAAAGAAATTCACTTAACACAGCAAGTTAATATTTTTTTATACACTTTTTAAATGCAATGCAATTGAACTTTTTTTAAATACAGAATGTCACTGGCGATGAAAAATGGATAATATCCAATAATATTCATGGTTCAGGACAAACCATGGCAAAAGCTGAATTGCATCAGGAAAAGATCATGTCAATAAAATGGGATTAAAGTTTTTGTGTATTTCGAGCTATTTTCAAGCAATCAAACAATTAACTCAGCAGTTTAGTGGCGACAAACTTATGAAAGCGGAGAAAGAAATCAAAGAGAAAAGGCCAGAATTGGCAAACAAATCAGCAACATGTACAGAATTATTGAAGCTTGGCAAGTGACCCTTATAGTCCCAACCTTGCACCAACAGATTATCATTGATTTACAAAACTTTTTAAATGAAAAAAGTTTCAGTAATAATTTCAAATCTTATTCAGTTGACTTTTTTGCCGCAAACTGGAAGCTCTGTGAGCATAGGATTTTGAAGTTACCAGTAAAATGGCAAAACATATTGAAACAGAATAGTTAATATTTTTTTTGCATAAAAAAAATCTAGTTTTTTATCACACTAAAAAATCAAATTTTTTTTCATCAACCCAATTAAATACTCGCTTTTATGCGCATTTAAATTTGTCTCAATAATCAGCTTGAAACTTGGTTTTGATTTGTATTTTAACCATTCTAAAAATAATAATTATGATTAGTTCTACTTACATATAGTTCACTTTTTATGAATAAGCTCAAAATGTAACTTATTACGTAGATGTGCATGACTTTAAAAGATTCTTATGAGCATTAAAATATACTAAGTATCAAAACTCTTATGCTCATTATTGTTTAGAACGAATATAGCAGAGAGAAATTTTTAAAATGAGTCATGTATAGTTATTTTATAACTGTGCACTTCATGTTATCTGTATGTTATGGTCATTTACTAAAATCTGTTAAGCCAAGTTCTGTAAAGTTTCAGATAGAGCGATTAAAAATTACAATTGATGAGCCTCATTTTATTACACTTCTATGCATATAAATGTGTATCACTCAACTTTGGGTAAATTAGTTGAGTATGACTCCTTGATCTCATAGTAATTTAATATTGCAAATCAGAGATAAAATATATTACTGAGGAAATTCGTTCAATTTTGGTTTGTTTTTAAAGCTACATTATACATGTTTTAAAGCTACATGTTACATCTACATTATACTTAGTAAATTGCAAAATTAAAATTTTTTCCTAAGAATCAGAGAACTTTTTTCTGTTATAAAAAGGCATACAAAGCATAAAAGAACAACTTCCTAAGCATTTGTGTTTAGATTATTTGCTGCCTGTAAAGATGATTTACTGCTTGTAAAGTAAATTTATATAAACACTAGTTATGAAGCTTCACTAGTATACAAAACATTTGTTATATTTAAACTGCTATAGTTTAGAATTTTTTTATTATGCCAAATCTGAAAATAAATTTGGAAATGGTTCAAATTTAAATATTTAATTTTTTTGCATGCAATAAGTTATATTTGTGTTTTGTCAATTTCTTTTTATAAAGAAATTGACAAAACACAAATATAACTAACTCAATTACTATATTAAAATAAATTTGAACGATATCAAAATGACTTTGGTGTGATGTTGGCAAAAATGGTCAACATGATAATTTGTAAGTAACTATAAAACTTTCATAGTACAATAATATTTATCTATCTGAGACCACAAGTGACGCTAATTGCTAATATAAATTAAAGTTCATTTTTTACACTTGTACAATAAAGGTTTCTTAGTTTCTATTGAACTTAGTTCAATAGATATATAATGGATTAGAAAATAAATTATTTTGATGAACAATAAGTAATGCAAATATTTGACCAAGTTATCTTTATTTTAAATATATGCAAAAAGAGATCTCACATAATTCTCCATATACTGTATTAACTTAATAATCTCTGCAGCAAATCAAAATCGATAAAGTTGTTGGATTTTATTTCTAATGTTATTAATAATTACTTAAGGGCATATTTTTGTGTTTTAAAGTATTTAAAAAACTATTTTAAAGCATTATTGATCTGCTTTACGGATATATTGTCATGTTTAGTTGGTTAATGCAATGATATGTGAATTTATCTAAATCGATATTTTACAATCACTAGTGCACGAATAAATATTTCAATTAAAATTCATATAAACTTTATATTTAACAAAGTTTAGGCTCAAAATATTTTTCATTGTAGAGAGTTTGTGAATGATCAGAAAGTTCTTTTGAGTACCACAATTTTGTTTGTGTAAAGATTACGTCGATTGTCCAAATTAATAATCTTATTAACCCACAATAAAACATTGAAATATTTTACCAGTCCTAATAAATAAATTGAGTAACTCTGATCTCTCTGGCACAAAATTCTACATAATGCAAAGCGTTATGAAGAACTTGTATTGACATTTTGATTCATTATAACAGGCATGTCTGCGCAAGATGCTGTTGTTGCTGGTTTGGAGTACATGAAAAACAGAGTTCAAGGCTATGGTGGTGCTATTTGTGTTAGCAACAATGGAGAAATAGGTACTCACTTTACGACTGACATGATGCCATGGGCCTATAGGAAAGGTAATATATTGCATTTCGGTATGAGACCCAATGAAGATATATCAGATGTAGTACAAATAGACTGTTCACCATAGAAGAAAACTATAAAAGAACTTTTAGAATTTTTACAAGAATTGCAAATATTGTAGCAGAGCTATTTTTGGAAAACTATATATAGGAGATATATGCCCATTTATATCATATACATAATTATTTATTCTGCCTTCCTTCTAATATTTAAGTAAAAGAGTGATTTACTTTGCTGGATCTAACTTTCATCTTAACTGTTTACAAGCTTTAGTAATGACACGTGGCAATTGAATTTATCTTATTTAGATGATTTAGATATGCATGGAATGATTCATTTTGTAATTTATGTCAGTCTACTATTTTTAAATTGTAAGTCCATTGAAATGTTTAATAAAAGTTTCAATCAGTTCAAAAGTGTTTTCAATACTTTTATATTTGTAAGTGATGTTCCGCAATCACCTCCCTTAATATATATTTTTTGAATCCTTGTAAAAAGGAAGCCAAAATTATATCCATTACAACTGCTCATTTCACAATTAATATTTACATGACAAAGTAGGTGAGGAAAGAGCAGAAAAAAAAATTTGGAATCTACCAAATCTCTAGTAAGGTGAAATAAAATGCTTTATAGATACTTATTTTCACTGCAGTTTTGATAACACTCATTAAGGGCAGTCATTGCAGAACATTTTAAATACATTATTATATTTTTTTAATCATATATAGCTTTTTACTATTCAAACTGCTACTTTTGCACTTTCTGTCTAGGTAATATAAAATAGGCTTGAACAAAAATGACTCAATATTTTGACGTAATTATCGAGAATTTCTATAGGCGGGAACATTTAAAGTGGAGCACCAGAAGCTGAGCTATAAAATTTATTATGATCATTATCTAAATAGTTTAGTTTTTGAAATTTGTGTTCTTGGAAATTTTTGATCTAGATTTGTTTAAAAATGTTCTTTGCGGATCACTTTTGTGCATAAAATAGAAAAGTCTGTATAATGTTTAGAGTCTACAGTAAAGAAGTATGTTTACTAATATATATAATTTATGTAATATAAAAGAAATTGGAAGATATATTTTTTAACAGTAAAGTTGTCTTTGTATGCAACAGCTTGTATGGACTTCAGAAATATTTTACCACCTAGTGAATCAAAACAAGTTCAATTTTCTCCAGTTGCTACTTTGATGTTCAATAGCTCTAAGTTAGACACTATGTCAGTCAAGGTGAAGTTATGCTAAATAGTTTTCAGTTTTTTCAAATGTAGCTTGAGTGTTGCCTTTTAGGATTTAATTTCAATGACACCAATGTTTTTATACTCTCCATTATCACAAGGTTTCTTATCTAGGTAAGCTTTAACTTTTTCATCCGTCCTTAATTCCATCAACATCTCATGATCTCTTATGCATCCTGAATTAGAAATTTATGAATATTAAAACATTTCAAAAGATTTATATGAGGTGTTCTGTAATCATTACCCTTAATATACATCTTTATAATTCCTTTCAAGAATAAAGTCGAAAGTATATCAACATTAATTGTCTCAAATTATTTAAGCTAGGAACAATTTTATTAAAATCTTTCCAAGGAAGTATATAGGAAGACGGAATTAAAAACATTACTAAATCAGTTTTATTTATGGGTAATAATGTTTTCATGTTTTTAATCCAGCCTTTATCACAATTAATTTTTCAGAACTGGATAATTTTTTTCAATTTTTGCTTAAAAATTTTTGTAATCTTGGATGTGTCTCTAATTTTGTCTTCATTTTTTTATAAGGATTCGAAAATATATATTAAGGGCAGTTACTAAGGAACACCGAACATATATGTAAAGATGAGTAACATAAAGAATGTTGTATACTTACTGCATGTCATGTTTTTGACATTATCAGGTGTCCTTTTAACTCTGTATTTTCTTTTATGGTATAATTCACCATTCTTTTTCACACAGTAGCATCTGTTAAATAATACTGAATTACTCTTTTTATACTTATTAATAATGAATAGCATTAAAAAATGATAGCTAGTATTTTAGTTTTTTAATTCAAATTTTATTTTTAGCGCAAACATGTTATCAATCTAGTGTAATAATCTCACATAATCAAGACCTCTGAGTTTATCAAGAAGTTTTCAGTCTTCTATTTCTACTCTTTTTCAGCTGGACTTACATTTTTTCCCCTTAGATATTGTTCATATTCTTCACCTTAAGTTTCAATGTTGAAACAAAAAAAAAGTTAAAATTTCCTCATGTGGCTTAGCCAATTTAAAAAAAAAAAAATTAATTAGTATCGAGTGTTTACAAAGATTTGGAGTCTTGATAGATGGATGAATCCAGAGTTAAAAGCCAGAATGAGGTGATTCTACTTAACTTTTTTTCTCTCCGTCTTTCAATTGTGGGCATCTGGGTTCATTTCCCATAGGCCTCAGAAATGCCAGAATTGCTGCTCTCTTATCGTTACCCTATGGGCACTTGGGACTAAGCCACGGCGGCGGAGTAGCAGTCGACCACGTCATACAACCACAAACCCGTTTATAGGGTGGGTTACATTCGCACAATCACGCAGAAGAAAGGACATAGAACACAGAGAGAGAGAGAAAGTTACATTCATGCGTACAGTGGGATTCGAACCCACAACCACTGACCCCGTAGTCCAGTACAGTAACCACTGGACCAGTGATCGGCATGCTACTAAACCTTAATACGATAATACTGACTCTAAATAGCGGTGTTTTAGCCCTTCATAAGGCCATGGGCACCTTCAGAAATATCAATAATTTTTAAATGTCGATGGGAAGTTATTTTCCCCACTTCTGTCTGCTAATAACATCAGAAAATACGAGGCGAATAACTCTCCAATAAAAGGGCTTTGTTTATATAAATGTGGATAATAGTAAAGATTAGCGTGGGGTCAAGAGGAGAGGCTAACACTATATTCTCTTGTACGTTATGTGTTCCTTCAATTGATCATTTCTCATCGAATTTATTCATCAACACATAATTTATAAATTTGGTTATTTTTAAACATAGAAGCTCGAGTTTATGGTCAATTCCTCACAGATTTTTGAAAATTCCACAAAAAAAATAGCCTTAAAAATTAATTTTAGGTATTAAGCTCAATTAATTCATTTTTATAAATCAATCTCAAAAATATTTAAACATAACATTACTAGAAATAAAATGTTAAACTAAGTCGAATCTCTAGGCCTGGGGGTGGATTGAGAGATGGTAGTACTCATGTGACTCGCCATAATATAAATAAATAAAAAGGTCAAACCCTTTGGGGTTTGTTCTGAATAATTCAAAAAGTACGATTTCAAATTCCTTACAATTGATTGAATGAGGAATATTCTTAAACGAACATTCAGACGAATGGATACTTACTCGTTTTTCTTGCACTGTACTGGCGCATAACTTCCATCCAAGTCACACTTTGGTAAGTATGCTCCTATCACTCGAACTCCATTTTCTGTATAATTTTGAATTTGACGTTCCAAAAAGTTTTGTTCGTGCCAGCATTTGCTGCGTAGCATTTCATCGTCATCACGGTGGCTTCGTTTATCATCTGTGGTAAGAGGAATTAAAATAAAAAGCATTTCTGGATAGTGTTACTTTGTTTAACAATTTTGCGAATAAAATTAGTAGTCGTACTTTATTTTCGTCGCACTCTAGAGCTACACAATGGGCTGTTGGTGACCGTCTGAGAAATATACCTGAGAATGATCCGGAAACAAAATACATACGTCACATCCCGTTTTACGAGGAGGACACATTCACACACCATCCGCAAATCGTAATTTTGACCTGAACCAGAGCACGATCAATCTCTGATTCTAGTATCCCCAGATTTTGTATAGGAACTTGGAGGACTCTGTGACCCCCGTGCTGGTGATTTAGCATGCACCAGCACGGGGAATCTTCGACCGACTGGGATCTAACTCATGATCATGTAGGACATGGACACGAAGTCCTACCAACGAGACGATCGCGGCCTCACTGAGTAGTAGTAGTACTTTATTTACGTAGCGCAAGAGATCCACTATGGGCTATTTTTATTTTATTTTATAACCGTTATTGAACATCCGACCCAGTTTTGGGTTTACGGCTACTAATGTTCAACTCGGTAGCATTATAATTTTGAACCCAATCCTGAAGACAAGGGAACTATTGGATCAAGTATTTTATTTTATTTTATAACCGTCGTTGAACGGCCGACCCAATTTCATGGATTTACGACTACTTACGTTCAACTCCGTAGCCTTGTAATTGTGAACCAATCCAGAAGACAAGGAAACTCCTGGATCAGTACCCCCAGAGGTATTGATTTGTTGTGGGAACATGGAGGACTTTGAGACTCGACAGATTTAACGTGCATCAGTCACCATTTACTACACGGGGAGTCTTCGGCCGGCGAGGATCGACCCCACGACCTCTTGGATATGTGCCCAGCGCCCTACCGACCAGGCTTACCGGCCCTGGATCAAGTATTGGAAGAATGTTGCCTTCGTGGAGGACTTCTTTTTTATGGAACTAACCCTCATTTGCATTACATGGAGAGGAAAACCACAAAACGCCCCACAGTTAGCCGGACAGCAAAGGGACTCTAACCCATGATCCGTCTAGTCATGATACGTCAGCAATGTGGTCGAGCCGAGTCGGTGTGGAATTTGTATCAACCAGCCATCACTGGGTTTCAAACCCGGTTCACCTAACTGAAAAGGGAATGCTCTATCCTCTGAGCCTTCACTATAGGCTATTGGTGACGGTTTGAGAAACGTCCCTGAGGGTGATCCAAAAACGTGCCATCAAAATTATGATCCCCAGCAAAGGGATGGCGCTCCTGCTTAGGTAGCCTGGCTATCCATGGAGAAAAGTGTTATCGAAATCTAGCACTTTAAGCGCCATTCTCATTGAAAGTTATTTTTTTCCTCATGTGAACGAGAACCTGATTGGCAGGTTTACTTCGGATAAATAATTTCCACCAATCGAGTTGTCACCGCAATCGAGTGAGAATGGTTCTTTATGGTATAACAGTTTCACGTGGATCGAAATCGCGCACCCACAGAACTTTTAGGTCACGCGGTAAAAAACGTGAAACTTTTAGGTCGCGAAGATGTTTGTAGACGTTTTTTATCTTAGGTGTGAAAAATTACTCCTTTTAAGTCAACTCGAAAAACGTGGTCTGCTTTGTGAGAAAGGGAAAACCTCTTCACACTTTGCAGAATCAGTTTTTATTTATATTCAGATCTAAGATGTGAGGCCTTTATGAAGAAAAAAAAAATTTACTTTTTGGTTTTAATCTCGGTTAAAAGTTATCTTAGCTACATCACAAAATTTAAATTTGACTAGTGGTCCATTAAAGACTAGCTCGCTGCTTAATTTGTTCATATGAAAAATAAGTAAATAACATTCGAACTGAATACTCTACGACATAATTTTCCCAAAAGTACATTTTTAACAAACATTACGGAACAAATATTACGATGTAAATAATGGAAAGTAGTAACCTCTTTGTTATCATATAGGTTCTATTTTACAATTTCAAATTTATGGAAAATCTTAATCGAAAAAGTATTCCTTTTCATATCTCTCAAAAAGTAATGACCAAATAAATGATATGTTAGTCGCATAAAAAACTATAGAGTTTATATTCTTCAAGTAAATAATGGTGGGCGTTTACCTTTTATTATCATCACTAGATGGCGGCAACAGATGTATAGTCAATTCTGTAAAGCTTTTAACTCCTTGATTGACTCGATCTACTATTCTATAATTTTTTTTTCTTTATAAAGTATGCTCCCTTCCCCTCCCAATAAAAAAAGAGGTTAAAACTATTTCAATGAATCGTCAATAGCATAAAGGCAAATTCTAAATATTTTATTCTCGAAAGGAGAAAGGAAAAAAAAATAGTTTTTATCATTGTTACAAGATGGCAGCATCCGTTTTGGGCAGCTATTTAAAATGATTTCGCCTCATTTTAAATAGCCGGCTCGTTTTTATAATGCATTTTCAAATGTCCAGTGGTGCTTCTTTTTTCTCCTGGGGGCGAATAACTCACCAATAAAAGNGGGGGGGAGACTTACCAATTGACACAAAAACATGGGAATCAATAGACTGAGGCCCATTTTTTTATACCGAGATTCTAGTGTCAAGTTAAATATTGATGACCTAGCACTAAAAAATTGTTTCCGAAGTACTTTATAGGGATTAATAGAACTGTCTTCTATAAGCGCAATTATTTTGATTAATTTCGTGTCAGTTCACACAATTACTACGCAATACCTTACCATTTAAATTCAGTGTGATATTACATAGTTGTTTATTGAACCTGTTAGTTTCTAATAATCAATAATGAAATAATAAGGAAAGTAATTTATGACTTACAGCATAATAGCTCTTTAATTGATTTAGCAACGATGCCAAAAGTGTGAAATTCATCTCCCATGCAGTAGCAAGACTCATCAGAACATTGAATCGGATCATAATTTCCGTTCGGCAAACAGCGCAAAAAATTGCCGTCTGGAACTTTTCTAGGAAATTTATCGTAATCTCTGGAGCACTCTACAAATACAAATAATAAATAAATTGTAAAAAAAAAAATAGTTCGTTATAATTGATTTAAAAGCTATTTACATAATTCATTTATTTTATTTTTTTATTTATTCTTTTTTTGCTATAATATCTACAAACTTTAATATTGTATTAATTCAAGGCATATTCTTGCGATGAGAATAGTTATTTCCGAACAAAATTAGTATCAGCTGTTAGAATAATGAGAAGTATAATTATCATACTATTTATTTGGATTGTAATAAATATTTTTAAGTAATAAATTTCAAGAAATAAAATTAAGAAATTAATCTGCAAATAGTCTTCATTTTTACCAAATGGGAAGGAATGCTACTAACACTTAATAAATAAACGTTGGGTAATTTGAGCCTCATAACTTGAACAAATTAATATTTAAAGCTATAAGAAAAAGCAAAGGAATCTTTTTGGGATGCTATTTATGTGTTCCGTATGGTTTTTGATGTCTTTCCAGATGTGTAAACAGTTTCAATTTCAGATAGTTCTGTTTCATGAAGTTAGAAAATCCTTCGCAACTTTTTTGATATGAAATGTAGGGAACTAATTCATGCAGTTACTATAAACTATATTTATCATGTTTTTCTAATAAATTCTAACAATGAAGGGATTGTAATAATATAGTGGTTAGAAATTAGTTTTGATGATATTTCTTCTTCAAATTGTTCCTTAGACATGTACTTTTCCAATTTTTTTCAAATTTTTTTTTTTTTTTAGAATTTTTATTGAATGGCAACAAAATATACAGAAATATTTTATGGTTTTCTGCTTAAACATCTTTTCAATCAGAAATTGTTTTGCTCTCCTGAAAAACTTTAAAATCGTATCAAAAGTTAAACTGTGGATACGCAAAAATTTAAAACAAGCAACTGTTAACTGTTTGAAATAGATTGTTTTGAAAATTTTTTGGCGACATTTCTTTTTTCTTAAAAAAATTGACGAGCAAGGTGACGATTTATTCTATTTATTAATCTTCAATTTTGTGACATTAAATGGCTATTCATAATTTTAATCGATCAAAAGACAGTTTAGAACTATGACTGAGATAAATCATACTTATCACTTCAAATACCTTCACGTGAATTCAATTTGGATCTGACGTTGTGTCGTTATTTTTTGGTCTTATTTTAAAGAAAAGAAAAAAAGATTGATAAATTGTGTACGATCACTCTCTCGTTCTTTTGACAATTTAATCATCGTTGACTTTTTGTTGATTGGGACTGTCGAATTGCACTGAGTTTTAAATAACTTTTTCTAAAAATAATAATAATAAAATAATGTCTTTTTATTAGTGGCAATTTTTAATGGGTGGCTTCAATATGATAGTTAATACGAGCTATTTTAATTTGCATATAAACATTGTAAACTCGCAGCTTTTGTATTAGGCATTATCTTTAAAGTTTGTCTTACGCATGTCTTGTGTAAATATGGATTATTACCAGGGTTGAAAGCGAGACGGAAAAGAGAAAAGGCTGGTAGTAAAACCATTTCAGTTATTGCTAGTTTTTGGGAGGTGTTAACTTATTCTTTTTTTTAAACTATTTAACAATATCTATTTTATCTACTGCGGAAACTAATACTTGGTGCACCGGAGTACCTGGCCAAAAAGGCCACCAACGTAAATTGTATGATTACAAACTGAATCAAAGGCCATTGATATTAAAATTATTTGGGTTAGTAAACTTAATGTTAGGTAGCTAAATAAAATAAGATAGAGCAGGGATAACACGGACAGGTAAAAACATAAACAGATAAAGTCATGAGTTCTTTAAATTAATTATTACTCATTTTTAATTATTGACAAATAAGCAGTTAGTGATTAGCATTGTTAGTAGTTGTATTAGTAAAATGAATCAGAATAAGCCGCAGTAATTCTGTGAATATCAATTTCTATTTTATCTAGGTGACGAAGCAGATTTATATATATATGTTAAAATCTTAAAGAAATCTTGGTAGTTACAGATATTTTATTTTTCTCGGAAAAAATGCTACAATAAAATGTGTTGCGTACCAGTTTTTCATCTTTTCCGTCTTGCTATATAAGGGCTTTCAGCCATGATTATTACTTAATTAAAAAAATTCATTCGTTTCAAAAAATATATAGATTGGAAACAATAGTCAATATGTACCAAACGTCTCATTCAAGTCTAGAAAATGAGCGCCTATTTTTGTGCGCTTAAAACATGTTAACTATTATTTCCAGTCTGTATATTTTTGAAGTGAGTGAAGTTTTTTCAATCAAGTAGTTTCCTGGGATTATTTATTTAACTTAAATATGGATTAGTTTCGATTTGGTTAATCATGTCTTCTTTTTGTAACGCTTTCTGCAGGTATTCGGTAATTAGTCTACACTTTCACACATACGTATGACGGAAGTGTCAAAATCAAGGAATCTCTTTTTTTCTAAATACGAAATTCTGTTCATATCGCAAGCTAATTTTGAAAACACAGATCTTTGCAATGAGCCTAACATAAGATATCTGCAGTTTTAAAAGAACTGGATTTTCCAATTAGGCTTCGACAGTAACACCATTTTAAAAGTTTAATATTCGTCTATTTTATACATAATCGCCAGTTTGGACGGTGCACTTTGTTGATGTTTTGATAGTTCTTGTATGCCCATGTCGTATCAGTTGCCTGATAAGTTCATGCATTGAATTTCATCCCTCTCCTCGTCATCTGAGCTGATTCACTTTCAAGCAAGATCGTTTTTTGGTCTTTCAATTGGTTGTAATCGGTGGGTGCTTAGTCCTGATTAGAAGTTACTGATCTGTTGAGGCTATTGAAGGAGAACAACTGTTTGATGGATAAAGTTCAATTCAAGGCCATGGCGGGGAGCTAGTATGACACGAGAAAAGTAATAATTGTTTAGCCGGTAAATATCTAGCGTATAGCTAATTTTTTTACAAACTATCTTTATTTAATTATCTATACCTTTAGAATGTAAGCCATCTATATCTTTATTTTATTTTGCTACTTTGGTAGACATGAACAGTTTTCGCCTCCAAAATGTAGGTAAGTACTATATTTACGTCGAGATCTTTACTAGAGCAGCACAATGGGTTATTCGTAACGGTCTGGGAGACATCCCTGAGGATGATCTGAAGACATGCCATCACAATTTTGTAAGGCCACTTCCTCAATTTAGACGCAGGTAAGAGGAAGGAAATTTTCTCCGGATCCCTGCACCCATGGTATTGCTTAGCATGCAATTTCAGTAATCACTCGTAATAAAAGCAGTGAATAAGCTATCCTCCAAAAATTTCCATTTTTTTTCAAAAAATTCACTTAGAACTTTTTTCCACGAACAATCAAACTATTAGAAATGAGATGCGGAGAAACAGATGTGTAGACATCTAAAACACCGAATCCGGTTTAAATTATGATTTTAAATAATCGATAACAATGTGTAAAAAAAAGACCACATAGAAAAAAAAAACTAGTTTTTCATCAAAAGCTGCTTTATAAGTATGTTTACTGAAACTATACCAGCAATTTTACTATTGTTTGATAGTTTAATGCATTTACAGTACATTTCCGCCACTGTTACAGCCATGAAATAGCTTTTAGTTAAATTATCAAAGTAGTGTCCACTTATTGCACAGATTCAACCTCTGGCGACATTTAAGGACGAGACAATAGAGAGAGCTTAGCTAATATCTTCTGGACGACAGAAGCGCAGCAGTTGAACAACTTACATAAAGTGAAATTGCAACATAACATTCGTCGAAATGCTGCCTTTTGTCTCAACTTCATTTCATTCTATGCAAGTTAATTCCAAAAACGTCATTTGGCGTCGATGAAATGGTTCCTCGCCAACTACGGACCCAGAGTTAATGGCTGTTCAGGTTTATGGCTTTTAATCCGGGCGGAAGGACTTTTCTTAGCTGGGGTTATTATCATATTTCCAGGGTTTAAGCGCCATAAACTGAGTGCCTTTTGTTGAGGGCTTATTTTATGTTGGTAATAGCTGGCGTAAAATTTAGCTATCTTGTTTGTAGCGTTTTTACAGCTTAGGGGCAACTGAGTTATGATATGTCAAAAAATCATCTGAAACTTTAGTAATGTTTAGCTTTTAAAGGAATGAAATGAAAGTTTATTTGAACCAATTTTTCAATTTTATTCATTGCGTATATTTCGACCTAGGATTGCAAAGTTTTTCTAATTTTATTACAATGCAATAACTAAATTTAAAAGGTTTAAACTTTTTTGATTATTTTTCGGTAATAAAAGTTTGATAAAAGTAGATTGAGATTTTATTAATAGATAAAATATAAAATTTAAAAAAAAAAAGCCAGTCAGATAAACTTTTGAAGATTAGTTCGATAGGATTGCGTAAATACAGTTCGTAATAATGGCATTGTTATAAATGTATAAGATATTTTATGGTTGTAAATAACTGATCACTACCTTCGGCATATAATTGAAATTTGTCATAAAATTTAATGTATGAATATTATAAATTAAAATTTGCATTATATATAATTTGTTATTTAATTTATTATTATAAAGAATTAAAAAGATTAAAAAAAATTTCATAAATTTAAAAAAAAAGCTTTATCTTTAAATTTTTATTTCTCATGAAGTATAAAACAGATTTCCTTCAAAAAATTTGGATTTTTTCATTTAAAATTATGTAGTTTAAAATGTTATAAAAATTTATATACCTTATAATACGAAAAGATTTCGACTGCTAAATAGAAAGATAAAAAAAATAATTAATAAAAGTTATTTTTTGCATCATATTATTTTTGGATCGATACATTTTACATGCGCAAAAACTCTTCGATTCACTCAATAACTTCTCAAAATATAGTGAAACAGGCAAAAAGTGATATTAACATTAAACGGATCAAACTTTCGATCGTCTCCTGCCTAAACTGCTGCGACCACATTTTCCAGATTGCGGCTATTCCCAAATTTTAGGGTCAGAAATTCGGATCCGTGGAAAAAAATTATGTTTATTCAAAGAATGTTTGTTTTTAGTCTGATTTCGTAACTTTAAATATCGTCTACACCAATAAGGTAGCACAATGAAAGTGAGACCCTCGAACTATTAAGATCGATTCTTAGTATGCGAAAATCCGATCATTAGATCAAAAGTTATTCAAGGTGTTCACTTTTTTTATTTTGCGCACTGTTCATGTATTGAAAAGTGACAAATGTTACATATGCTTGTCCCATTTTATAATCATTTGTGTAAGCAATGATTGCATAATATTCATTTTATTCGGTGGAATGACAGTAGATATGAATGAATACGCATCCTCATCTATGCGCATTTATATTAAGAACGCATTCATTATGTAAATCTGCTCAGTTTATTGGTTTTATTATGAACACAATGAAGTATCATTTTGTTGAGATAATGAGCAATTAAATCAATTGCTGAGCAATTAAAAGAGTGAAATAATGACTCCCGCAAATGAGAAAATTTTGCATAAGTTCTAGAAACACCATCGAACTTCAAAATGGGTTGAATGTATAATTTATTGATAGTGAGATGTTATGCATAATGAAAATATTACATACAGTAAATCCATGTACTTACTACAGTTCATTAACTCTTTTTTACTAGCTACGTCTGTACCGAAAATCCTTTTTCCATTTTTATTTACGCAATAACATCTGTTAGGGATAAAAAGAAATAACATTTAGATCAAAGGCACATATTTTTTGCGAGTTATGGCCTACAAATTACCTATTTTTTTACAACTAAATTAAGTAGTGAAAAATAATTCCAGAGTTTAATACAAATTAGCATAATATTCTGAAAAAAGAATGATTTGTTATTTTATTTTTAAATGTAGAAAGCAATATATTATTGGCCGTTTAAAAATGACATAAGCACCTGACAGGGTTGGAGAAAGTGTGTGATTTTCTTATTTTTGCTCACAAGGGGCGAGGAAGTGGAGTATGGAAGCTTACGTAAAACTTATAAATCTTTCAAAATGTTTCTTAAAAAAATAAAAAAAAAGTAAGAAAAAATTACTTCTTGAAAATTTTTTAATGATGACTGAGCCGTGACGCCCGGTGGCTGAGCGGTAGCGCTTCGCGCTGTCGTGCTACAGGTCCCTGGTTCGATCCTCGGGCCGGGCAAGGTTGACTGAGCCTTTCATCCCTTTAGTGGGTCGATAAATGAGTACCAAGCATGCTTGGGAACTAAACACTGGGGGTTCCGCGTTCGGCTGACCACCTGACCGAAACATCTGCTCATGCACCCCAGAGCCCAAGGTCAAGAAAACTGAGATGGGCACAGTAGGCCTTGGCCCTCTAGGGCTGTCGCGCCACTGAGTTTAGTTTAGAGCCGTGATGGCTAATGGGATAGAGCGTTCGACTTCCAATGTGGGATCGCTGGGGAGTGAACCGGGTTCAAATCCCAGCGATGACGGGTCGAGCCGAATTTCGCTCCAGGCTTGCTGACGTAAAATATCCTCAGTGGGTGACGGTTCTTTGGGCTAGAGTTCCCTTGCAGCCCGGATGTCCGTGAGAGGTTTTCGTGATTTTCCTCTCCGTGTAACGAAATGCTGGTTAGTTCCCTCAACGAGTTCTCCACGAAGGCGAATTTCTCCCAATACTTGATCCAGGTGTTCCCTTGTCTTCTGGATAGAGTTAAAACTTACTGGGCTACGGAGTTGAACATTAGTAGTCGTAAACCCAAAAAATTGGTTCGGCTGTTTAACGACGATTATAAAATAAAATAATATAAAACAAAATGAAATAAAACAGGAACTTCGTTTAATGTTAAGTTTCATTTCTTCCATTAGAATTTCCAACTAGATTACTTCAGTAAATGTCAAAGCAAAAATCAGAGGGAGAATGATTTGTTATTTTTGCTGACCTAGCAAGGGGAAATGGGGAGTTCGAAATTGCCAAAAATATGCTTAAGTAATATTTGCACAACTCTTTAGGTAGGTATAACAGATCTTGAGAATAAAATATGAACGAATATGAAAATATGAACGAATATGTCAAATATGAACGAATAAAATATAAAAATGTCAAAATGTCAAAGTAAATGTCAAAGCAAAAATCAGAGGGAGAATGATTTGTTATTTTTGCTGACCTAGCAAGGGGAAATGGGGAGTTCGAAATTGCCAAAAATATGCTTAAGTAATATTTGCACAGCTCTTTAGGTAGGTATAACAGATCTTGAGAATAAAATATGAACGAATATGAAAATATGAACGAATATGTCAAATATGAACGAATAAAATATTTATTACTTTTTTATAGTCAATTATTTATTGGGTATTTATTCTCAAGTCCCAAAGCAAAATTTCATATTATTATGAGACGCCTAAAAAGTATTAGATTTGTTTTTTAAATTTAACATTTAGTATTTATATTTTTCTTAATGAATTTTGATAGAGAAATAAAAAGTATTATTAAAAAGAAAGGTCCTAAAATTTTATAAAAATTAAAAATAATATTAATTTTAGATATATTTTGATTGAGCTAGTTTTAATTCAAACATCTTGATATTTTTTAGATTGCTTTTTGACAAATGGTCATAAATATAAAAAGCTCCTCTTAACTATCTTCACAATAACTCACCCAGCATTTAGTATAATAAGTTATCAAATGTTTAATGTTCATTTAAATACAATGAAATAAACCTTTTTTTTCATAAAATAACGGAATTTAAATAAGCAGCTTTTGTTTTATATTTCTTAAAAAATGTAATCTGCAAAGTTATTTTTCAATAACAAAAACATATTTAAATAAATATTTTTTATCAGAAAAGAAACAAGTTATAATATTAATCAAGCAAAATAAAAATAAAATAATAGTATATATAAAAGCTTTATAGGATTTTAAAATATTACATTAAAAATATCTTTAAAAATTCAACGAGCAATTTAAAGAACTATTCCACTTGTTATTTCTCGCATTGTAAACAAATTTAATTATTAACTTCTATTTTATACTATGCAAGCAAATTGCACATATTTTTTATTAATTAAATTCTCTTACTTTTCTTTATTTTGTTTGTTATGTTTTTATTTGTTCATTATATTGTTTGTTATGTTTTTATTTGTTATGAAATTTTATTTCTAAGTAGCATTTATGAAGAAAAAAAAATTCCAATTCAAAAGCAAATTTTTCAAATTACTTTAATAATTGACGAAAGTAAGCAAAGTAGGCAAACACTTATATTATAAAAAATAACAAATTCATTTATTTTTTTTAGCTAAGAACTGTAGATATAGTACTTTTAGAAACTAGAGATCTATCTTATAAGCACACATTATTTGTTTTACACACATAAATACATTTCAGCTGTATGAAAAGTCAAAGATAAAAGACCTTAAAAAAAAAAAAAAAAAAAAAAAGAGAGAGAGAGAAGAATCGTTAATTAATGATGCTTTTAATATTTACAAACAATTTTCAAAATTCACTTAAAAATTCGTAAAAAATGGGCTAAGTGAAAAATAAGCATTTTTACAATTCCACTTTTTTTTTACAAAGAATTGTAAATATAGATTTCTTTTTTATTTCATTTAATACTAGAGGTTTATATTTTAACTACAAACATTTTGAATACATTAAATGACTTGCCAAATATAATGAAACTCTTTCACAAAAAAATTAATTATTGAAATGTGTAATGAACTAACCCTTTAATATTTACGACAAAAAAATCCTATTATACTTTTTCAGATTAACTTACATGATTGAAAAAGATAGGCAAACAGTTATAAATAGTAGTTATTTTTGCTATTACATTTCTTTTTTTTTTTTTTACATAAAAAGTTTAAATATGGAATTTTTTTCATTTTCTTTAAAGATTGAGGTTTATCTTTTGTCTAAGCATAAATTATAACATTTGCCAGATATTATATCACGTGTCGAAATTTATAAAACTCCTTATAAAAAAAATTGATTTTTGAAATGTTTAATGAACTAAGCCATTAATAATTATGAAACATAAATCTGATTATAATTAACTTGTATAATTGACTTGTATAGTTGATTGAAGGAAATAAACAAAAAGTTATAAATAGTCGGTATTTTTGTTATCATATTTCTTTTCTTTTACATAAAAATTATATAACTGGAATTTTTTATTTCCTTTCCTTTAAAGTCTATCGTTCATCTCCGCACATGTTAAAACATTTGTCCGATATTATACAACATGTCGAAAATTATGAAACGCCTTAACAAAAAAATTTTATATTGAAATGCTTAATGAATTAAATCTTTAATGTTTACGAAAAATAAATCCTATTATAGTTATCAAAATTAATATATATAATTGACAGACGTGAGCTAACAGTTATAAATAGTGGGTATTTTTATTATTACCTTTCTTTTTTTACGTAAAAATTATAAAATCTGGGATTTTTTTATTTCTCTTAAGGCTAGATGTATCCTTTATCTACGCCCACATTAAAACATTGATACAATGCTATTATTATTTTTTTAAATTTCATTTAATAACTGTTGTTGAACAGCCGACCTAATTTTTTAGATTTGCGATTATTAACGTCCAACTCCGTTGATTTGTAATTTTGAACCCAATCCAGAAGACAAGGGAACTCCTGTATCAAGCATTGAGAGAAATTTGCCTTCGTGGCGGACTTTTTGATGGAACTAATCTTCATTTGCGATACATGGAGAGCAAAACCACGAAAACCTCCCATGGTTAGCCTGACGGCAAGGGGACTAACCCGACATCCGTCTACCTCTGAGGATATTTTGCGTCAGCACTGTGGTCGGTGCAAACTGGATGCGGAATTCGTATCGACCAGCCATAGCTGGGGGATTCGAACCCGGTTCGCTTCATTGGAAGGCAAACGCTCTGTCCTCTGAGCCGTCACGGCTCTGATACGATATCTTACGACATCTGATACGATATCGTATCTCATACGATCTGATACGATACCACATGACGAAAACGATAAAACTCCTTAACAAAAGAAAAAAAGAATGAATATTGATATGTTTAATGAACTAAGCCTAATATTTACGTGATATAAATCCAAATGCAGGAAACCATAAAAATTCAGTGAATATTTTCTTCCAATTCCTCATTTCAAAAATTCGAAGCATATCAAAATTTTCCAGAATATTTACCTCCTATTATTTCTTCGATCCCTAGACAAGCATGTTTCCATTTAAAAGTTTTCACTTGTTTTTCTTGAAATTCGCAGAATTACATTCTTTAATCTAATGTATTGGATGGGAGCGTACTTTGTACGTTATTAAAACTTTAACGGTCGAAATCCTTGGAGAGAAGCAAAAGTTTAGAAAGAAAAATGAGTTTTAAAAGCTGCCGTAAGTTTGAAAGCCAAATTACTAATCTTTATTTATTAAAACTTTGTTTCTAAGAAGCAGAATCGAATTAAGCCATGTGACGTGAATTTATTTTTGTTCTTTAGTTTTAAGAATTCTTGAAGAGTTTATAATACCTGGAATAAAAGGAATATTGAGCGCAGATTTTTAACAAAAATGGTATATTCAGAAGCCAACCAATTTTTATAAACTATTTTTAGTTATATCTTTATGAACTCTGAGCTATTAATATAAAATGAGAACAGAATAAAAGGAACGAAAATCTTTTGTTCATTTATACATAATACCATAAAAAATTTTTTTAAACTTTGTTTCTTGGAAAAATAATTTTCAACCAGTTTTTAATAATTTTTTTTTAATTATATCATCACGAACATCGAATTTTGATATAAAATGAGAATAGAGCAGAAAATGCTCTGTTTATTTATAATTAATTCCATAAAACATAATTATTGCTTCGTGTCTTTGGAAAAATAATTGAACTTGGTCCTACGAAGTGGCGAATTTATTTTTTTAGTCTTAGGAATTTTTGAGTTTGTAATGTCTGGAATATAAAGAAATATCGACGGCAGGGTTTAATAAAAATGGTATGATTAGAAATTTTTAACCAGTTTTTGTAAACTTTTAATCATATTTGAATGAACACTGAATTATTAACTTAAAATTGCAATAGAACGAAAATAACAGACATGTTTTATTTATTTATATAAAGCGTATTAATTACTTTGTTTCTTTTAAAAATAATTGAATTTAATTACACGAAGTGTCAAATTTATTTTTATCCTTCATTTCTAAGAAATCTTGAGGAGTTTATCATAAATCTAAAGAAGTATTGAAAAGAAATTGCAGCGAAAATGTAAAATCAGTAAATTTCAAAATTTTTTTCTAACCTTTTTAATCTTATTTTTACGAACTCCGAATTAAGGATAAATATTGCACAAAGTGAAAGACAAAAATGTTTTTTTTAAAATTTATAACTAATGTCACAAAGCAATTTCCTTATTTTGCTTCAACGAAAAAAATTTGAATTTGGTTATTTGAAACGAAATTCAATTTTGTTCTTTAGTTCTAAGAATTCATAAGTTAATAAGAAAATATTGAAGGGAAATTGTAGCAAAATTGATAGAGCCAGAAATGTTCAATAAATTTTTATAAGCTTTTTAATCTTATTTTGATGAACATCAAATTATAGATAAATACCGAACAGAATAAGACCAAGGATGCTTTGCTTGTTACATTTCATGTGTATCTAATACACATTTATTACACACTTTGTTTCAACGACAAAGAATTGAATTTGGTCAAAGAAAATGGCTTCATTTTTTTTAATTTCTAAGAATTTTTTGAAAAGTTTATAATGCCTAGAATATACAAATACATTAATGATAGATTGGCATTTTATGGTTTTGGATTTTTCAATTGAATAAAAGCAAATTGGACAAAAATTTTGACTTTTGCAGGACATTTCGATTGGTAAGCACAAGTGAGTAGAAGCCCTCCTAAAATATAATTAAATTCCATCGTTAAACTGATATATTTCTATTCAAAAACTAGTTCAATCAATTTTTAAACCTTTTAAAATGTCGGTAGGAACATGCCATATTTATGCACTTAATTTTTTTTATTTTGTTCTATATGCAATTATTTCTTTTTAAAGGAAATGACAATCAATGTCTTTTTTATGAAATAAACACGTAGGTAATATAATTTTTGTAACATTATAAAATTTGTAAATCTTAGTATGGTACATTTTAGTTATCTTCTATTAGATTTTTCTGGATTTATGAACGATATCTTAATACAACAGATTTTATAAAAACAATTTAATCAAAACTTACAAAACTCCGGATTTACAAACAACTGGCTCATAAAACCCAAATTCGTCACATTTTATCACATCGCCTGCTCTTGCTCTTCTTCTTTCTTTTGTGCACTTTGACTCGACTGTAAATAATAATAATAAGAGAATATGTATAGTGCGGCTTTCAGGAGAACTCTTACATACACCCGTCTCGCGTCGTGGCGGGTACTATGGTTACAAGGAAAGGTCACTTCGAATAAGGGTGTGGGGTGAATAGTTTTGTCCTAATCTTAGCGTAGGTCGTCGTGAGTAAACTGATCGACCCCTTCTTTCCTCCATTTCACCCCCATTAGGAATAAGCTCTCGCTTGTTACCATAGCAGCAGACAGCCCCAGACTTTCAGTCTGGAGGAATTCTTCTCAAAGTCGCAATATACTTTATTTTAATAATCTGAAAAATATCAGTAATAAGCACACCATTTAATTTGTTCATAAAACCATATGAATATAAACAATCGTACTTAATGCAATATTTAAATAATTTATTTCGTACCTATAATATCTTTGAGTTTAAATTAGCTTCGTCAAATATGGGGAAATGAAAAATTAAAATATTTGAATGAAAACTGCAAAGTGATTGGATCTTTTTCATTTTTTCAGGGACTGCAAATTAATATTTAAGCGACGGAGAACCAAAAACGATATTAAAATCTAACGAATCATAGCTGAGGAAAGCGGGAATGAAAAACATAAAAACTAGTTTCATTGCAGGAAGGAATTTGGAGGTGGGGGTTTCTAATAATCGTTTTTCAACTCCTCTTTATTGTTTCCAACCGAACTGGTCAGATTTTTTCAACCTAACTATCTCAGAAATAATTCTTTAGATCTTTTGATAATATTTGTCGTTTAGAAATTGATTTCAGGCAGATGATGAGTTTTTAAAGTTTTCTCTGATCTGTTTTAAAGTTTTTCTTCTCATCAGACCTCTGATGTGAAGCTTTTGATTTTTTTAACACGGATTCTAAAATTATATATGAAAGGTGGTCATTACTGACCACCCTTATAATAATTAAAGAGCTCACTAAATAATTGTTAATCGAACGTGGAACACACTCATTTCTTGGGATAAGAAAAGGTTATAACAGGTTATAAGGTTATTTGCATAAGCTTAATTTCCGAATTTTTAAGATTTCGATAAGCAAAATCACTTTATTTACTTGCCTTGTGTTTCGAAAATGTTAGAAAAGTTTGAAGGAAAGAGATAAAAATATACAGCTTTTTGTGTTCTGACTACGAAACTAATATTGTTCTCCAAAAGTTTCAAAATAAGTAACAAAGTTTAAGAAAAGATGGCGCTGCTGACTAGGACAATATTTTTCTGCTGCATGTTAAAACATTTCACATGAAATGTTTGCCTGAGTGTTAATTAGTAATTTTTTTAGGCAGAACCAAGTTGTTTATACGGAAAGTGGGTATTTTGAAAACAATTTTTTATAATTTTTGCGAGTTAGCAGAGACTACTTTTTGCAAAATTTGTTACGAATTTTTACGTTTATGAAAAATAAACGGGCATGTTTCTTAAACAACCCGCAGCCAACCGTACATTTTCATCCCCTTCTTCCTTTGATTTTTCAACTTTCCTTCACCGTTTTGTATCTGAACTTCAGTCTTTCGCCCTCATCTCAAATTTAAATTTTTCTGTTTACTTAACTTGTGAATAATTTTAAATAACAGTCTAATATTTAAATATATTCCCAGACTAAGATACAAGCTCTACGTTACAAACTATTACTCATAATATGAAGCCTTTATGCTTGACTATAAAATATTTTGATTTTATTCTAAGCGTTATAATTTTATTAAAAAGAAAGAAAATTTAAGAAGGAAAGTGAAAAATGATTTCAGAAATAATAATTTATTCTTTTGCTGAAAAAAGGTACATGCCCTAATCGACACATTATTACTTATAATATAAAATTTTCATGCTGTCCTATTTGACTGTCGAATAATATTTTTTCGTTCAAAACGTTCATTTCATTTAAAAACGAAATTTCAAGGAAACGAATTTAGAAAAAATCATTTATAAGGTCGTTTGTTCAAAAAGGTACAAGCTAGTTTTTTTCTTCTGTTGCTGTGAAACAAGAAGTGTAATATAAATTCATTTATTTATTCAAAAGCGAAAATTTAAGACGGAAGAGAGAAATTGATTCCAGAAACATTTATTTATAGAATTGTTTGCATTTGGGAAAATTTCAGAAGTTCTTTTTAATATCTTTCTTAATCGAACATATTGCGCAAAAGTTTTCAATTGAGATGAAATAAAACGGCCTTAAAGGAGTTATTGAACTATTTCAAAATTATCGTTATTACCTGGAACGCATTTTGCTAAAGTTTGGCTGCATATTAAACCCTCTCCGCATTCTTGTCTGGGAAGTACTGATAATTCTTGTGTTTTACACGCATCTCCTTCCTCTAAAGAAAAAATAAATTATTTTACTATTTACAAAAACAAAGCACGTTTAGTTAAAAAAATGGCGAGAAAGTTCAAACTAGTAAATAATTATTTACATTGATATTACAATATTGGAGATTTAAAGATTTCTATTACAAATTCAGTTTTTGGAATGTAAGGTGTTCTGTAATCCCTGATCTTAATATATAACTTTATAACACTTTTTAAAATGGGAATCAAAATTCTGAGCACAGTAAGGAAAACAAAAACGTCATCAAAGTTTAATGAATACTATCGAAGAGGGCTGAACTGAAGATGCATATCAGATTTTTCCACACCAATCACACTCAAAATCACAGTTATGAATAACATTCTTCTGTCATAGCATCAGATAGCGGTTTATCCGGCCCTCTACAATCTGCAGAGTAGCCAGGTTGGTAGGGCGTTGGGCCCATATACAAGAGATCATGAGTTCGATCACCGCAGACCAAAGACTCCCCTTGTAGTAAATGGTGACTAGTGCACGTTTAATCTCTCGGGTCACAAGTTCCTACATGTTCCCATAACAAATTATACCGCTGGGGGTACTGAATTGGAGATGGATCGTTCACTGGTTCAGGATCAAAATTATGATCTGTGGATGAATGAACGTATGTGCGAATGAGTCCGCCCTATAAACCGGCTGTGTGGCTGAAGACATATATTTTGGCCATAGATGGCGCCACTGAAAAACAGAAAACGCACCCTCTGCTTTAAATCAATACCTCCTAGAAAAGAGAAAGCCTCAGCACGGGTTACCATAAACAAGAAATTTGATACTTTAGTAGTCCAAACGTAATGACATCTTTCTTATTTTTCCTCCACTGCGCAGTTTATGTTCGTTACGTCAGACTACTAAATTGATCTATGCTGAGGCCTTCTTTCTTCTTGGAGGTGTTGCTTAAATTTGCTTGGTTACACCAAGCAGGCTTGCTGATATTGGCAAATAACAGAAGAATGTTATTTGAACATCAGATCGTGGTTTGTCCGAATCACTACCGCCCTCTACAATCTGCACTGTTAGTCAATTATAACTATATTTCTTATTAACTATAGTGACCATAGTATTATATATATATATTTTTAATTATTTTGCATAATTTTTCTTTTAATAATCCTTTTAAATAATATTCTTTTTCATTTTCTGTGTTATTACTTTCTTTTCTTTATGTAATAACTTATAACATTTTTTTAAATTGATTTGTTGGTTTACGATGTTTGTTTTAAACATTTATTTTTTAAATTTTCAACATTTCTTATTCTATTATTTTATAAAAAGAAATGACTGGATATTCAATCTATGATGCAGTCAGGTTAATTGCTAATTTATTTTTCTGCTAAATTATTTAAAAAACCCATGAGAGAGCTCACAGTTTTTTTAAAAACCAAAAGTCACAATTTTAGGAATTTCCGAATACCAACTTTAAAAAAATTTATTGAAGTTAAATAGAAACTAGGATAATCCAAAAACAAAAAATGAATTTAAAAATTATTTCAGTCATTAAAAAGTTTAAGAACTTCAATTTTCATAAAAATAAAAGTTATCTCCATATAAACTAAAATATTAAGATAATTTTAATTTACTTAAAACTTACTATTTAATTACATAGCATCATATTATAAAAACATAAAATTTAATCAGACAAAAAACATTTACCGAGAAATTCTTTTTTTTTTTTAGAACCTCTAAAATTTATTTTAATTTGGTATTAAACATAAACATTGTGCATTTATTTAAGATCGTAATGCCATTGCATTTATTTTAATTCGCAATTTCAGGAGTAATTCTTCTGAAGCTTTAGTGTTCGCAAACACAAACTAACAAACGGAGATGGATTTTTATTAACTTAATATTCAGTGAACTCAAACATGTAAACAAAGAGTTTCTTTAGATAGTATTTAGTAAATACAAACTACTAAATCAGGAAAGAGTTTATTTATTTAGTAAGAGCACCAAAGATTTAGATTCTTTACGTTGATTTAATTAAAAGCATTTTGAAATTAAGCGTCTTAAATTATAATTTTAAGTTGCTTTACTTACAAGTTTCAATGTTTTAATGGATCTTAGAAATGTCTAATTTGATTTAGCTAGTGTATCATTACACTTTACGAAACTAAATTTTAAATTAGAATGGAAGCTTGTATATCCTTCGCATCTTAAATAGAATAATATTCGAGGCATAATATGCGGAAATTCAAATAGCTAAGACAAGTAAATATTTTTTCTAACACAGCAAATAAGGAATGTTAATCTTTCTGTTAATAATAAATAAATATAGTAATGTGGAAAAATATGGATTACGAGTTTGAGACATTTTTAAGAATATTACGTATATTTCTTGGAAACAAACATTCCATTATCAAAAATTTCTTTTACATCTTTTAAATACCTCTTAATTCTGCAAAACTGGTTGGTAGGTAGGTATTTTATTCACGCCGCACTGGAGCTGCACAATGGGCTATTGGCGACGATCTGGGAAACATTCCTGAGGATGATTCGAAGGCGTGTCATTGGAATTTTGATCCTCTGCAGAAGGGACGACTCCAATGCTTTGGTAGCCCGACGATCTGTGCACGAAGTCGAATACTTTGTGGCAGAACAGTTTAACGAGGACCGATATCGCTCACCCTAAGTCCCTACGAAGGCTGAACAGAGTGGTTACCCACCCCTGCTTAGTGACGCAGCTAGTGATGCTTGACTTCGGTGTTCTACTGGGAACAGTGTCTTTGCGATCAATCCACTGCGGAAGCTTTAAAACTGAGAGGGTAAGATGCATACCAATAGTGTATAAGCAAGATATTAACTATAGACGTACTCAATTATTAATGAATGTTAACCGATTGAGTAAAAGATGCATATTGGCGATGGGCGTTAACTTTATTTGTTAAAAATAGATAAACAATGAACCACCTACTGGTAAGCCTACACGAGATTCCCGCTTCGCTCTGTAAAAAATTACGGTGCAATACCAATCCGAATTTGATGTTGTAAAGTAAAATTTGAGAATGAATACTTAATTTCAAGTTAAAACCCAATCTAGTGTTCGCACTCACTTTAAATGGCGAAGTTAAATCTAAAAGATCAATAATTGAAAAAGCTTGGACCAAGCTCATATGTATTTACATCATTCATGAATTTTTTTTTGCCAATTTCGGCTTATGTTTAGAAATTGTCCTATAACAACAGTAGATTGTTTGCAATCGAGCACGAAAAGGTAAAACGCTTCCAAGCGCTGCTGAACGTTTCACAGAAACAAGAGTCAACTGTGTTATAGAAAGCAAGCAAATTTTTAGTTGCGTAATAAAAATAATTATGTTCTCACTAGAAGGTTTACGTAAATGTGTCAATTGTAAAATACTTCGTTGCTACTCGCTTCTGTTTTGTTAAGCCTAGTTTGAATTCATCTTAACATTCTCTTTCTGTTATGTATACAAACTAATTTCATTTTTAGAGTTAGTATATATATATATATA